TCCGGGCCCAGCCGCTCCTTGCCGTGACCGCCGGGCTCTCAGCGCTCCCGCCGGGCCGCCCCAGGGCCGGCACACCGCGCCGCGCGGCCGGCTCCGTGCTGATAGGCTGCGCCGCGGGAAAAACATGATGTCAGCCAGGGTTTAAGTGCTATATATAGTGTGTGGACAAGACTACAAACTCCGTGGATCTGTCTTTGACCAAGAGGTAGCATGGTTTTTCTAAAAAAAAAGACAACACCAAAACATGCCCCCATCCCTTACTTTGCAGCGTACTGTATAAAGCATTACCATTGCTTTATATTGCATAACACCTGGAACAGTTTCTCCAGGCCTCTCACCACCGGAGTCATTAACTGCACCCCAGTGTAAAGGTCAGCCTTACGTCTTTGGAAGGTCAGTCTATTTTTATTGCCTAGAAATACATTTTTTAAAAAAGTGCTTCTCAAATTACAGTCACTATGTTATTCTGAGCTGTTTGTTAGTTTGTTTGTTTTTCTTCCTAGAGGTTGTATATTTCATAGAACTGGAAGCAGTCTGCAAAACCATTTAGGTTTAAACCATTTACTTCCAGTCACCCCATGCATACCCTCATAACTGTGTTTTACCACATTGTGTTCATGCAATTACAATGCATTTCGGGACAGTTCAAAGTTCATCCAATTACAGTGCATTCAGGGAGAGTTCAAAGGCCTTGATATTCATGGAAACACTGCCATCCATTTCAAACAGAGGTTTTTTATCTTCTGGTAGCTATTTTTCTTTCTTTTTCTTTCTTTTTCCCTTCACCTGCTTCTCCCCGTGAACAGTGTAAGAAATCTGACTCTTCATCATTACAGTTCACATTTTTTGGTATTGTTGAGAAAGGTTTTCATGTTGGTGTAGGTGAATATGTCAACTTGTATGCCCCTGACAATATTAGGGGAAAAATTCATAGTAAAAGTTCCCCTGTGAGTGCAGTTCGCTAACATTTGCCTCAGTGAGGTTCATTCAAATATGATTCAAACGTGATACTTCTGATCTGGGATACTTTACATGGATATTTCCTGGGGCCTAGTAGGATTCTCCCATTGTCCTTGTCTTTCCTAGCATCTTAATTCTTTACTCAGCTTACTGGCCTGTATTTGCATACGGGACAGAATTGCACCCAACAGAATCCTGACTCTCCTGGTATGCTGGCTGCTTTCTCTGAATTTGATGTGTCCTAGAAAGGAAGAAAGGACCTGGACCATCTTTTTGCTGGTGTCCTCAGAAGGCTTTGGTATCCTTAAGTGACTCTGAGGTTGGTCTGTCACAGAGCCTGGCACAAGTGGTCCTTCCTCCAGGCTTGCAGTTGTTCTGTCATGTACTGCAAATGGAATGGGATTTAGGACTTTCATGACCTGCTTACACAGAACAGCTCTAAGAGAGGGAGAGCAAATAATGCCCATGTGGCCAAGTCCTTTGCATAAATAGTTACCCAAAAGTGCATGCTGAATACTTTTTGAAGAGGAAGAAAAACACAAAAGAGTGTTATGAAGGGAATTTCACCGCTGCTACTAAGTTCTAAAATGTGGCTCTTTTGATTTTACTACTCAATAAGGAAACTCACCCTACCCTAATTACTAGGTTTGCACTGCCACATCTCCTCTATGCTATACATTGAGACAGGTTTTGAAATCTATCTGAGTTTATGAAAAAGGATTTTTAAGTGTCTTGGACAAACTCATTAGGAAACCAATCCTGAATCATATTTTGACGATAATTTGTGACTGTAGCTAAACCAGATGTCAACAGTGTAAATTAAGAACTTGATCCACTACACAGCAAAAAAGTTCCCTAGGTACTGTTAAGTTACTTAATAATTGGAACAATATCATTTCATTGGCATTCAGTTCAATATAAAAAAAATACTATTACACAGGTAATGAATATTGCAGGTCTCTTGATGAAGTTTAATCAAGAAAGCAGAGCAGACTGCTCTAACCCTTTCTCCATCAGCATCACCTCTTATGCTGGCACATCCCTTACAGACTTAGAGTCTGTGTAGTTTAGCAGATTTAAATTGAGCAGGTTTTCTATATATGGGAACATCAGTGCACAAGTGCTACCACTGAGCATTGCAGATTTTGTCTACACAGCCAAAAGCAAGATGTGCATGGCATTTGCTACACTGGTATCTAAAGGGTGGTTTTCACAGCACCATTTTATCTTCAGTTTGCAGTTTCTCAGTGTGTGATATGATATACCACAGCAGGAAATGATCAAGAGCTGCCTCAGAATAAGAGTGCATATCATATCAAAGTTATTATCAGGAAATAATTTTGCAGCTTTTTCAAATGTATTCATACCATAATCCCTTGCTCCTTTTACATACACCTTCCTAGTCCTTCTCCCCTCCTGCCTTCTGTTTTGCACCACAGTGTTAAAGAACAGTTATCCTGGCAGTGGCGTCGATGCACTTTGGGGAGCTGTTCAGCGGGTGTCAGATCACACTGATGTCATATCGCTTGTGCCTGTTTTAAAGGTTATGACTGTAAACTGTGGGAACTTGGAATACTTACATGATGGCACTCATTTTTTATTTTTAATAACAGAAAAAGTGTTACCAATAACAAAATAAAAGCCAACTAGCACAGAGAGAATGTAAATGGACAGCTAACTAAAATTGAAAGTAGATTCTTTTGGCCTGTATACAGGAGATACAAGACTTTTTAAAATTTAAAGTGATAGCACATTTTTTCTCAATGCTCCACACTCATGCCCTGTCCATTCATGAATTAACACTGTGTTATTGTTCAAAAAATAGAAAGCTTAAGAGGTTTTGAATCTTCTGTCTAGTTGTTGTTTTCTAATGGGGAGATCTCAACCAGAAATGCAAACCCGAACGAAAACTCCTTTTCTTTAAAACCGTATGTCTGCAATTTGATTAAACTGCAGTCTTTTCTAAGAGTTAGATCTTTGCTATGCACTGACTGAAAACAAGTGCTGTTCTTAGACAACTATGTACCCAGCAGGAATTTATATATGTTCTTCGACAGTAGAATCTAGTATTGAGTGAAAACATTAGTGAGAACATTGCAGTAATCACCTGTAACTTATTTTTTAAAATCTCTTCTAAATAGCTAAACAGATTGCAATAGCAGGATAGGCAGTGAATAAATAGTAGACTGGAATAAAAATGTCTATATAAGTAAGAAATCAAATAAGACGGACAGTCTAGGACACTAACCCATTCAGTTTGCTCTTACTGGCCTTTCCTGTAGTTACTTGGCAGTGTTGGTTTGATCTTTCAAAGATTAACCTGGTGTCATCATGAATTTTTGGATTGCAGAAACATTTTTGGTTAGTTTTTAATCCCAGTTTGGCATTCTCTTACTGTGTGGGCTCAAACAATCAATGCTTTGCTTTAACTTCCGTATAAAGTTAATTTTTAATGGAGTTTAATTTTTAATAGAAAATCATAAAACTCAATGCATGTATCTTTACAGAGGTCCATATAAAATGTTGTTAAAGGTAGCTTTTCACATTATTGCTTAAGATATGTTTGACTGTGCTTTAGCTAACAGCATAACATTAATTTGATATTAATAATCTGCAAATGTGGTGACTTGGCAAACGAAATTTAAAACTAAATGTCTGAATGGTACTCTTGTACCACTTAACTTAGTTAAGTAT